CGTCTTCCATCATTCTGATGGCTCTTCCTGCGACTGAGGACAACTTCTGTCCATGGATATGGACTAAAAGCGAGAAAATTATCCTCACATCAAAATGTGCAGAATGGGTGGCAGGAAACGCAACCATTCGACGACACATCGAACAAGAAGTTGCAGCGGCGCTCATTGAGGGTCGTGGGCAAAGCTCTAACATTAAAGTTCTTGGAGCATTTGTTGTGCAGGTGGGATGAATTCCGAGGCTCGCATGTTTACATTCGCTCATGTGGTCTTGTCAGAGGGTACAGACTTGGTTCGGCAACAACAACACCATTCGCACTCAAACCCAAAACCCAAAGTTCACCAAAGGCCGGAAGAAGACTGCATACTGGCTGTGGAGGGAGGATCCAGATACCAAGGAGGCCATTGGGTCCATGGGAAGGGACCAGAACGACACCTCTGTTGGTGCCGCATCTGCTATAGCCAGCAGGATGTGGGAAGAGTTGTCTGAGGAAGAGAAGCAGCCTTGGAAGGAGCTTGAGCACAGGCTTAGGAATGATGGTGGGACTGATGAGGAGAAACGCCTGTGAGTAACGAAATCATATTTGAGAATTTGGGCCCACAATAGGCATTTTAGATGGGCAGAGAAGAATGCTGCTCGCACGATGGAGGACGTCGTTGAATACCTCATGGCAAATGGCAACATGCCTTGCTTTGTGTATGGCCTTAGACGGGACAGCAATGGACAGATCAGACATTTGGTGTATGTAGTCCGCCCCATTTAAGTTCCAACGATGGCAGTTGACATGCATACCAGGTCCTCTGTGACAACATACTTGAACAAAGCCTCTGTGAGAGGGGAGAATGGACCTCGTTGGCCAGAACCTGACAAACATCCCAAATGGGACGATGGACCTTTTGAGGTTCTCTCCTCTCTATTTCATACCATTCTGGAGGGAGGGACACCAGATTCATACAGAAAGACTTCTGGGGTGAGTGCAGCAGCATTCTGTAGGACACTTCAACTAATACTGTGTATGGGATCAGATCAAAGTGAAGGCGTCAAAGCCTTCTCAACCAAGAGATGTTCCGTTTGAGTGGCGTGACAATTTGCCGGTATTGTTCATGCCAACTGCTGAACAGTGGCGAGGGGGTCTGAACATCAAGACTGTTATGACAGCCTGGTTCAACATCCATATCGGTGAGCCACAACTTTGTCACAATAGGTCATATAGCCTGATTTAAAATAGACCTGGCCATGGGCCATGGGACACGGTCCGTCCACCACCCACCTTGGCGAATTCTCGCTGCGGAGTTGCAAAACGTCTTTGGCCTGGGCTGGTACACCCCAAAGCTCAGCCTTATCCTGAAAACGTTACAGCAAATCAGTGATGCAGACCTGATCGAGTGGGCGGAGCTCATCATTCAAAGAGAGAACATAGCTTTGGCATCTTTGAACTCCATTGATGAGGCTTCCACTGGTTTGGATCCAGGAAGCCGTTTCTTCCCACCAGAAGGCCGCTTTCACCTACGACTTGTGTGGGCTGGGTCACGGGGCTCAGAAACACTGAAGGAGTCTACATATAGAACATTGAAACAGCCAACACAGCCCGAGACCAACCTCCGACAAGTCACTGAGAATGCATCACTCAAAAGGGCCAAGGCAAAGGGGAAACGCCGGCAAAAACAGCAGACAAGACAGCAGGAACACTCGACCACGCTCCAAGATGGTCCGTCCGACGACGATGGAGAACATATTCACATTCCCCACATGTCTTCGAGCGATGAGGAAGTGGATCTCCCCGAAGGCTCCCAACTAGGAGGGGAACAGCAGCATCCACATCCCACAGCGATGGTGTTGTTGACGACAACGACGACGACGACACAAATGCAGTGGAAGCTGCTGTGGCAAACATCAGCAATGTCTCTTTCAGTGATGCCCAACCCCATGACCTTCCAGCGTCCCCTTCAGCTCTCAGTGATGGCAACATTGACGAACGTCGACTGCCTCCATCTCACGCTCTGAAAATGGCCTTTCCAAATGCAAGGTCCAACTTCCTCAAGTCTTTACAGAGCGGGTATGCACAACCCTACCAAGACATGCTAACCAGGGTCCACAGTGGTGTAGGCCAATTATTGTAAATGATGGCTATCATAAACTGATAAAGACACCCACACAGCTGGATGTGCAGGTCGATGTGCCACCAAACGAGTCTGCACCTTGGGCGACATGGAACAACTCGAACGGATATGTTGGAGGGCTGCTATATCGCGACGAAAGTGCATATGGTCTTCTCTTGGACTGGCTTCGCAAGGAATCTGTGCAGACAACAAGAACACCTATACAGGTTCAGCAGTTCTGCCTCGCCATCGGACTGCTAATGCGGGACCTACAGTTTCTAAACGAATTCATCCCAGACGAAGAGGAAACCCTCATCCCCAGCTTCACGCTCGACCACTTCCAGTTTTGCACTCTGGGCCAGACCACTCTTCTGCCAGACGACAATTCCTTTGTTACAAGGATGTCTGCTCTGGAAACATTCGCAAATGCATACCACCCAGCTGTTACCAGTCACCCCCCAAAGCCTCGGCCTGTTCCTAGGAGGCGGGCTGAAGTGGAGAATAATGGGAACTCAGTTGCTTCTGGATCTGCACAACCTCCCCCCATACCATCGTCTGTGCAATCTATATTGCATGTGGCAGCCCCTACCCGACGAAGCAACAGGCTCCCAGTCCCTGCAGCAAAGATGAAGGCAGCTAGAGATGGTGGCGAGAATGGTTTTGATGAAGTCTCAACAACACCTATGTCAAAGCCAGTCAGTCATTCAAAGGTGCCACAACACAAGAAGAAACGACGTGCAAATATGGATGAAGATGCCGCATCAAAGAGGCCTCGTGGGGCCGCCAACACTTAGTAGCAACAATTCATGGACAGCAAAAGTTTGTAGCTATTTCTCTACATCGCTAGAATATCCAACACATCATCTAACCTGGGTATCATAGTCACATCAAATGCTGGAAGTCCACCTTCTGACCAGACCTTTATCATCTCCCTCCTATTGTACCAGGACATAACTGTACGGCAACCATTCACCTGGGGAACTCCATGTTCTATGAGGTTCGCCAGTAATAGGACAACAGTACCAGGGGAATAGCAGAAGGAACAGCCCAGACCACGGAGGCCAAGGTATCCATCAGTTCCATATGTACCCAGAGTTACAAGTAGATCGAACATGGAGGTGAAGCTGTTGATATCAACATGGTATGGGGTTATACGGTCATGGATGATTTGCAGTGCGATCCCTGTGACTGGCCAGGAAGTTTGACATCCAAGGTGGGAATGGAAGTGAGCTTGTAGAACACTCCACTGTGCAGGATGGAGCAGTTTCAGAAGTGCGTCCAAAAGTGCCCCAGGCCGTTGAATATCTTGCACCCATTGAGTAATTTCTGGGCGTTTCCAGTTCGCACTAGCCTGGACATTTGAGATCTACAAGCACTGTTAAAATAATATGAAGGTTCCAAAAGCAATATTGCTTACATCGTGCTTGGTAAATGGTGATATCTTGAACGGTCCAATATCGCATATACCAGCCCCATTGTTCTTGCACTTCCGGAAATGGGTGGTGTGAAGACGCCAGTTCAACTTATCATCGCTGGGTGGTTGAAAGAGATGTCTTATCCTGTCGTTGGCCGCATTGAGCTCGTTCTGCACACAGTCAGATTGTGTTGTGGTCAATGTTGGAACGACGCACCTGCAGAGCTGTTGTGAGGATAGCTGGGAGTACCCAAGCTAGCACGCGTTCGTCTTCGTCTTCAACTACAGCTGCATTTCTTTGCGCCGCTGGAATTCCAGAGTCTGTTGGCAACGGCACAGGGAAAGCACGGTTCCGGGCTTCAATTTCTTCCCAGCTTGGGCAACCGTGCGCCCTAGGCACTGACTTTGCGAACACCTCCAATTTGAAGGGCACCTTGACTACCGCAATATGAGGAGGTGACTAATTATATATGAAGTCGCACATACCAGTGTTGCGAATGGCAAGGGCCACGACATCAGCAGCTCGAACACAACCTTCATGCAGCACTATATCGTCGCCTTCATGACATATCTCCGGTGGGTACGGTTGACTGGGGAACCGGCTGTGGTGATTCAGACGAGCGCGTACATAAGTTGGGAGGAGGCGGTGAGCTTGGTTTAAGAACGCGTCCTCCATGGTGGGGGGGGGAGGGGGGGAATGGGAAGCACACGGAGAGGCAATGTGGACACGCCAACCTTTAGCTATGTGTGGGAGCACCGCGCCCCACGATGCGACCACGTTCCTTGAGGGTCGTGGGTACACTGAGGCTGAGCGCCCGCGTCTGATGGGCGTAGGCACTCCGAGCGCCCGTGTTTGATGGGCGTGGGCACTCCGAGCGCCGGGGTATGGTGGGCGTAGGCACTCTGAGCGCCGGGGTATGGTGGGCGTAGGCACTCCGAGCGCCCGTCTTTGATGGGCAAGGGCACTCCGAGCGCCCGTGTTTGATGGACGTGGGCACTCCGAGCGCCCGTCTTTGATGGGCGTGGGCACTCCGAGCGCCGGGGTATGGTGGGCGTAGGCACTCCGAGCGCCGGGGTATGATCGGTGTGGGCACTCCGAGCGCCGGGGTATGGTGCGCATAGGCACTCCGAGCGCGCACGTCCAATCATTGTTTGGAGGCTGGGCCCACATATTTTGAACATAGCGCCTCCAACTTTCGATTGCGTGACACATTTCTGAACGCGCGAGTGTAGAATACAATATGCTAATTAAAGTTACGCCGACCTACGCCGTTGTCTCATGGGCATATGGCTTCCATCGCAATGTCTTGTCCCTACCAAGAGGCACCTCCGACGTTGCTCGAGTCGCCAATACCGCGGTACTGTCTTCAATTATGCGCCATGGAGGGAGCGTGGCCCGATGAGTCGATGGGAGGGTGATTCGTGCCGTTCCGCGCTTTCCCGATGCAGCGCAGTGGATCCTGTAGGATCGCGTAAGTTGCAAACGTTTTCAAAGCTCTCCGATGACGAACCTTCATGTGTAGGAACAGGCACCGCCCGCTCCCCAGATCCCGTCGGTGAAGGAGACCGCTGGCTAACTTCCATGGGCATATGCGACGCCCTGTCCGATGTTGCGCCGGCGCACCTGGAGGCGTGTTCCTCCGCTTTCTCGTCCGACGAAGACGATGCGTATGATGGCAGTCGAGGAACCACCATCAACAACCTCGGAATCAGCGGCGATGGTGAGGGAGAAGTTGGTCGTGCCCGATCTTCGCTACCATGTGCGGGTATAATAGGGCCTGCCGATGCACTGGGCAGAGCGAACAGAGGTGCGGGGATCGTAGTGTGAGGGGGCACGGGTGGCGAGGCGGCAGACAATGATACAGGAGGCGTCGTGGCCGCGGATTTCGGAGGTGGGGGCGGACTATGAAAAGACGGGGTGGGAGCGGGCAGAGTCACGTCGAAATTTGTCATAAAATGGGGGGTGGAGGGGGGCGGTTCGTTGAAGTCCGCCGTCGCATCGAACATGAAAGGCGAGAGAAGCGTCGGCGCCGTCATCAGTGTATGGTTGACTTGCTCTAGCTCTAGGACTCTGGCAGTCAACGCGGCAACGTCCTCTTGAAGCCCCTGGTTCTGTGCAAGTGTGCGTCGCACCAGCTCGCTGTTGTTGGCAATCTCAGTGCGAATCGCCTCCAAGTCGGCCATGGTCGCTGGCCGCGATGCTGCTCTGCCTTCCCAACGCTTGTGCCCGTCGACAGAGGGCAGGGTGGACTCTGGAATCGCGAAGAAATCGCGTCCTGCGTTTAGTTAACACACCTTCAATATCGAAACGTTGTCGCATACCTGGGACTCGAGATGGAATGTTGTACCTTGCTACGGAGGGTCCTGGCAGCGCGCTCTCCGCCTCCACATCTTCTTCGCTCTCCACATCCGGGCTGCGGATTCGCGCCCGCTTGCGAGGGCGCGGCGGCTGCGCAATGTCTTCCATACCAGCATTTTCGCCCTGCGGTTCGTTCGCTGTGAATGAATAACATCAGTCGCTCGTGGCCGTGTGTTCGGTGCGCCTGTGTCCCACCTTTACGCAGCTGCTCCAGCCATTCTTCTTCGGTTTCAACTAAAATACATAGCATGAGTTTGTTAACGACCAATTCGATTATCGTGGCTTACAAAAGCCCTCCTCGTCATCGCTGTCGTTGTAGAGCCGCCCCTTCGGCTTGTTGCTGTCGTTGGGTTCCATTCC